AGTCTGACATAGGCCGTCAACTAGATGAAGCCGCCTGCAGAAAATCCACCACCACAGACTCTGCAAACAGCCACGGACAAAAAGGGGATGGAAATTTAAAAGCCAGGGCCCAAGACGATTCCAAAGAAAGGACAAGCCCCGCCAGTTTGAACGGCAAGAAGCAAAGAACAAACACCGCCTCCCTCAGAAATGGTGCATACAACTTCAACAAGGAGGTCGGAGCCCGAGCTGCCAAAGCAAGCACAAAAGACACCGGTTCTAAACCAAGCTCCTCCACACCCACCCCGAGCCAGATCGAAAACAGCTCCAGCAGGGAAAAAAAGCGCAAGACCGAAGCCAAGTACCCACAGGTGCACAAATCCTCGGCCACCTCGGATGACGAAAGGGAGAGAACCTGTACGTGAAGCCACACCTGGCTGACATCATAAGGAAGGACAGGGGCGAACAAGCACGCATTGAGGTGCTTCAACTTGCCCCCCAGGTAAACCTGAACGACTGCAGTCAACTCCTGCCATTCAAGTGCGCGGTTCGACAGAACGAATGTCTAGCCCCCAACAAAAGAAAAGGCAGTCTGCCAGCCAGGAAGACTCTGGCACCTCGTAACACACCCAATAAGGAAAAGAGGAGCCAAACTCAAAAGAAGAAGGGCTTCATTATCGAGGCGTAATCCGGGTCTCGCAGGAGGTAAGCTGCAAGGGCCTCCCACACTTTCCTTGGTGGGATGCGGAAAGCCAAAAACCTCCGGAAGGAGGGAACCGAAGAATGCAAGGGAACTCGGAATCGAACCCGGGAAGGAGTTGAACTCATTACAAAATCGTACAGAAAGGGGGATAAGAAAACCCCTCCCCCTGTAACAACAAGTCCTGTGCCAAGAGTACCAAACACCCAAACAGGGACAAGCGGGGCCCAGGCCCCCCCCAAGTCAACTCCTCCCCAGCCCCAGAATCCTCCACGTCAGGACTCGGGGCAGAACCATCCTCCAAACCCTCGGCCTCTTTGGAGAAAAAGCAGAGTCCACCGGAAAAGCAGGGATGAAGGGGGCCCCACTGGCGTGGCCCAAAAGCTCTGGCAGAAGGAACAGGCTCGAATGCCTCTGCTGCCGATCCGGAAGGGGCAATTCCTGAAGTCGCCCGAGTCTCACTACTAGTATAATCAAGTGGGACGTCTGCGTGGTATCCAGAAAGGCAACCAACCTCGCACATTGCTGCAACCAAAATCTCACATGTAACGCTAAAGCTGCCTGCACCCAATTATCGGTCTCAGTGGATTGGGTGAATGGAGTACAAGCAAAGAACACCACTCACAGGACTCCAGGTCATAGGTGTCACTGACCCAACAAGCAGCAAGGCGGAGGCAGATGGTGAGTGTCACCCTGAGACAAGGGGACAGAATAACCTTCAAACTCGCACAAGGCGAGGTGGGACTCTGAGGTCTCCTCCATAGGACCACAGAGCCCCAATGGAGGTTTCCAGGGCCCTTAGGATGACTGCTAAGGGAAGCCCAGGCGAGGTACTGCTAACCGGTTCTCCCAGAGCTACCAAACAAGCTAACTAAAAGCTGAACCCCTGCAATGTGTGCAAGTACAGGGACTCAGTGGAGGACCATCAAAATCCTACAAGTGGTCCTACCGCCACACCAGGCAGACCCCCACCAGGCAAATCAAAACAAAAACAAAAGAAAACCCCAACAAAAGCACAACGTCTCCAGGTGAACAGAACAGATCGCTATGCATATACAGTATCAGACAGCTTCACAGTACCTCGCGCCCCAGCCAGTGACAAAACTACCTTCTACCCAAGGGCAAACAGGAGTAAGAACCATCCCAGCTGAACCCCAAGGGCGGGCAATCACCGAGCAGCGACAGAACCACACGGAGGTAGCTGCTCCTGAATGGCTCATGGAAGATAACCCCGAGGCTGCAAAGGTAGTACTTATGGAGCACCTAGGGAAGGTAGCCCTAGGTGCATGCAGCCCCAGTACTCTTGTATTACTTCTGGCTCACACTCCACCGACACAGAGCAACAACACTGCACTGCAGCACTGTGCAAAGAGTGGAACCAGAGAGATTAACCGTTTGCCATCCCAACAATCTGTGAACTGAGGAGAATTGCCAGCGTGGAGGTCTGGGACCCCCCGTCCCCCTCCCGGGGAAGGGGGTTGCGCAGACGTATGCGTGGCGGTTGTGGTGACGTCATTTTTGTTTCTTTGTTTTTGATTGGGGAGTTCTGTTTGCTAGTTCGGCTTTCGGTTTGCAATTTTTGACCAGCCGTAGTTTGTTTTGAAATTCCTACTTTTCTGGGTGCCTGACCTGGTAGATGGCAGACAAAGACTGCTTCCAGTGACACGGGGATGTCTTTTGGCCATTGCTCCTCGTGCCTCTCTTGAGGGGGCCAGGTTCTGGCTCTGGTCCTCGGTAGGCTTAGAACTCCTTTGATTAACTGTTGCCAAGGTCTAATATATACACATCAGCCCGGTATAGGTCCGGGGAACCGAGGGGGCTCTCCACAGAAAAGTACAACTAAAAACCGAAAAGAGAGGCAGAGCTCCCTCTAATCCCAAGGAAACAAGGAAACAAGCAAACGTCACACTCCACTGCTGTGCCACTTGTCCGTGCAGCCCTTCCCTCCCCAAGAGGGGGAGGGAGGAGCCCCGAATCTTCCTGCGCTGGCTACCCAGCACTCCTGGGGCTCACCCAGAAAATGGCATTTCATTATATTTAATGCTGGGTTTCTGTGGGAAGCCCCTTTGGCTCCCTGGAGCTACATAACCAAAGAAAAAGAAAGAAGGGACTAACCCCGGGAGGCAGCTGCTACAGACTCAACACGAAGTTGAGACAATTGGCTGCAACCTGCGACCCAAAGCAACACAGGAATGCCCAGGAGCAGGAACGTTAACCAAATAACTGGCAGCCAGGACCCTGTTTGACCTCCAAAATCCCTGCGCCCGAACATCAGCCCAGGACATGTTGCCAAGCATGGCAGCCAATGCAGCAAGCCTCCTAATAGCATGGGCATGAGGATAGGCCACAGGCTGGCTAGACTTAATAATCCTGCAGATGACCTGAGAGACCCGAGCCCTGGAACAGAGCATGAGGGAAACTTGATCAACCCAAAGCACATCCCCAGCCTCTGAAGCCGAAGTGAGCAGGTAACAGCAAAGAGTCGCAACCAGACACAACACATGATGCACCCTCGGCCTGACCAACCAAGCATCAATGTTCCAAAAAAAACTTCGGAAAGCAGCTATCTCGTTCTTCGCCAGAAAAGAAGAAGGTTGCAACCAAACAAATCAACCCCAGGATTAAAAGAGCAGAAACCCCTGCACCAGAGGGGAGCATGTACCTCACCGACCCAACCCCCAGAGGTTGCCAACAGAAACAGAGCCTCGGGAATACAATCTTGAACCGAAGAGGCCACCCCAAACCGAGGAGAGGAAAGATAGGACAGCACCCTGGCCAAGGACCAGGATGACTCAAGCAGCACATGAGCAGGCTGGAGGTGAAACAAAGCATGAGAAAGATTACGGAATGGGGCAGAAGTAACATCCACCCCAAAAGCAAGCAGGAGTGGCTCTGCCAGTGCCACATGTGATGAGGCGACAGTATTAGGCATTAAATGACGGTCCTGAAAAGCCAAGACAGTATTAGGTATTAAATGATGGTCCGCCTCAGGTGGGATACAATCAATGAAGCCACCTCACCACCATACAATTGGTGATAAACCCACTTCAAAAAGACCCGATGCAAAGACCAGAGGAGAAGACCGGACCAGCCGTGTACCGGACTGGTTGGACCAGCTGGAAGAGGCGGCGGAGCTGTGGAAAACACCCCAGGTTCACACACCAAGCAGAGCAGTGCCTGGAACAAAGGCTGGGCCAGTCACCAAGGGGCCACAAGGACTACTCCCCTTTGGTAGGACTCCAACCAAGCCAGAACCCGAACCAACAGCTGGACCAGGGGGAGGAAAGAGTTACAGGTAACCTCACCACGACCAGTCCCGCCGGAAGGCATCAACCGCGACAGCCTCACAGTCAGGGTGCCAAATAGATCAGGAGACGCTGAGACCATGCCAGTGTGAAGAGGTCCACGTCCAGGAGTCCGTACGTCCGGCAGAACGAACTGAAGGAGTAGGCGTTGACTGTCCATTCTGTGGACAGGGGAATGAACCGAGACAGGCTGTCCGCCAGGACGTGGACACTCACTGGATATGAACCACATGGAGAGCCAAACCCAGAGAAACCAGCAGACAAGCCACCTAAAGTGACCAGCCCCAAAGAGGCAAGGACCAAAAGGAACCCCCTCGGTTCAGGAAATGAACCACTGGAGAACAGTCTGAATGGAGCCGAATGGTCGAATCCCGAGCGACCCGAACCCTCCGAAGGGACAGCGAACTCCCACACTGTGCTGTGAGCCCGATGAAAGGACAGACCCCCATCGCCCCTGGCTGGCCTGGAGAACACTAGTCACAAAGCCCCATCCGAGAGAACACGCATCCGTGAACACATCGAGCAAGGGCTTGGGTAGGTGCCAAGGCACCGAACCCCGAAAACCCTGAAGAGGAAACCGACAGCGCAGCAACCGATGCAAGGCTCCCGGAGGACGAACCCAACGATCATGAGATAAGCAGAAGGGGCATCCCTGAAGGAACCAGAAGATGCTGAAGCCAAACCCAACCCAGCTGGTAGACCATGAACACATTGAGCGAGGGTTCTAATAAAAATGCTGTGAGCTTTTTATTAATTTACTTGTCAGTTATTCAGAACTGGATTTGACAATCTCCAGTGACTCCTGAGTACTATGTGACAGTTTTAAAAAATCTCACCTGTGCTTGTGATCTTCCTTCAGGGAGCAGCTAAATGTGATGGTTCAGAAATCGAGAATCCCTAAAATTAGAAAATTCATAATGGGCTTGGCCACAACTATTTCAGGTTCTGGATGCTAGTCTGTATAAGCTATTACTCAAAAGTTATCTTCACATGCTATTATTAGTAAAGAAATTTACCTTAGAGATTTCTTCTTATCTTGTGGATCACTTGAGAGGTATAACTTAATTTCTTCACTCGCCTGCTGTTGCTTGAAGCTCAAAATTTCCCGCTCAGCATTAAACAGATGGTACTTTGTTTCTGATTTTACAATCTCATCCCTAAGGCCCTGAGAAAAATAAATCCATAAATGTAATGTTTAGATGGTCTATGCAAGTGTCAATAAAAGATACACAATGAGCTTATTCACTACCTCTATACTGTCATGTGGATGAAAATACCAATGTGCTACATGAACTTCATTGTACTCAGAATGTTCAGTATAATGTTTATTGTTTGTGATGCGTGTGTGTAATTACCTAAGTGTAGTTACAGGATGAGAGCTATACTCGTGGTGTCCCGTCTTCCCAGCACTCTTTGTCATATAAAGCTTTGAAACTACTGACAGTTTTGGCCTCCACTACCACCTCACCTAACTTGTTCCAACTGTCTACCACTCTGTTTGCGAAAGTGAATTTTCTTATATTTCTTCGGCATTTTTGTTTAGCTAGTTTAAATCTATGATCTCTTGTTCTTGAAGTTCCAGGTCTCGGGAAATCTTCCCTGTCGATTTTATCAATTCCTGTTACTATTTTGTACATAGTGATCATATCACCTCTTTTTCTCCTATCTTCTAGTTTTGGCATATTTAATGCTTCTAACCTCTCCTCATAGCTCTTGCCCTTCAGTTCTGGGAGCCACTTAGTAGCATGTCTTTGCACTTTTTCCAGTTTGTTGATGTGCTTCTAAGATATGGGCACCACACAACAGCTGCATATTCTAGCTTTGGCCTAACGAAAGTCGTGAACAATTTCTTTAGTATATCGCCATCCATGTATTTAAAAGCAATTCTGAAGTTAGAAAGTGTAGCAAAGGCTCCTCGCACAATATTCTTTATGTGGTCCTCAGGTGATAGTTTTCTATCTAGAACCACTGCTAGATAAGAAGTTACAGTTGTGTCTGGTTGTGGGAATATATTATATGTTCCTTAATGGAGCCCTGTTGCTAATGCATTGTTAATCGCCTGGAAAGAGATGTTGTTGTCTTGCCTATATTCTGAGCTCTTTGGTGCTTACAGTCACCAAGTGGGCATTTGAAGGCATAGACGACGTTGGTCTCCTTTAAGGTGTTCTGCTTTGTGTCTGGAGAGTTTTTCATGAGTAGGTTGGCCTTTTTTTTGGTTTTATAGTAAATTGTCAATTATATCTTGACTTGTCAATTGTATATATATGACCATGTTGTACTGAATTGGATGAGAATAGCTCAAGCTACCTCATCTGTTTGTGTGTATTTATACCTTAAACATATTTCATTTTCAATTCAATTTCAATAGCAAACTCTTTCCTTTGTCTCATGAAATAGTTTTTAATATTTTTATATTCCTACCATTCTCTATACAGTACTTTTAGACTATTTAGGTTTTATCATCTCGTAACTTGTACATTACAACTTATTGTGTGTTTTGATTATTAATCATTTGACTATATGAGGTTCATTTCAAGTCTTTCTGGATACACTATTTTCAGTTTTTTATTAAAAAGTCAGTCACATCCATATTCTTGCTCAGTGCCTCAAAAGGTAGAGAGTCAGCAGTTATTAACTAATTTTGAAGTCGGTAAGTGATTTATAGGCTGAATGCAATTAAATATTTTTTATTTGCTATTCATAATTATAACCCCATGGTATATGGTAGGCATACTTAAGTAAAAACTCTAATAATTAAATGAATGGATGAGTAGATGCTTGGATTTCTGAATGGATGAATGGTTGAATATATGGGTGACTTGGTGAGTGGATGGTTATATATATGGTTAGTTGGATGAATGTATAGGTAAATGAAGATCTGGAAAGGCTGGATGGATAATAGGGTAGATGTATGAAATAATTAGCAGGTAATGCCCCAACTATATGAAAGCAATTAGGCATGAAGTCATTATCTGCAAACTGAGCCTATTGGAACTAAACACTGCATATGAGGTAAATGATGCCCAAGATTGGTAAAGAAGCAAGGCTAGTATCTCATATTGTGTTGTCAATCTAGATATGCTGCCAACTTCCACACACATTGTTAATATTACTAGCGCTTACTGGGATTACGCTCCGTCATTTTCTATGTTTTCTGTGGGTGTTACGCCTGGCTTTTGGACTTTTATATTTGCATATACTCCTGTAGGGAATTCTATTGCGAACACAATGTTACCAAAATGAAAGACCTAGGATGAGAATTGAGATGTCCAAAGTGAAGAGTGTACACATTTTATTGCTCTTGCGCGGTTCTGGGTAATACGCTCTTACTTTCTCACTTTTTCGCTGGGCTTTTGGGCTTTATACGCATTTAGTCTTGTAGAGAATTCTATTGCAAACACATTGATACCAAGTTGAAAACCCTAGGACGAGAAATGAGATGACAAAGTGGAAAAGAGAATACACTTTTCAGTATTACCGCGCTCTCTAATGTAATGAGAGGTGCTTTGGGGTGGCACAGTGCTCTTTTTCTGGGCCACTTTCATCTTGTCGGTGGGGGGAGCGCACTGCTTTTTTTTTACTTTACATGCATATTCTCTTGTTGGGAATTCTATTGCAAACACAATGATACCAAAATGAAAGACCTAGGACAGGAATTGAGGTGACAAAAGTGAAAAGAGTGTACACATTTTATCGCTCTTGCACACTCCCGGGTAACACGCACGCACTTTCTCTGTTTGTTGTGGATGGTACACCGGGTTTTTGGACTTTATATCTTTATATGCCTTTAGTCCTGTAGAGAATTCTTTTGCGAACACAATGATACCAAATTGAAAAACCTTGGACGAGAATTGAGGTGACAAAGTTGAAAAGATTATACACTTTTCAGAATTACCGCGTGCTCCTGTGAAACGCTGAGGCCCACCCGGGGTAGTGTGGGTCTCGCGGGCGCTGTGCAATAAAGTGTTAAGAAGATATTATCTACAGATTCTACATCATGGTAGCAAAGATTTCTTGAAGCTAGCCCCACATGGTCAGGATGTCGTTAGTACTTATAAGGTTGTAAATTTTTGATGACAGATGTGGATATCATCTGTGAAATCAATCCAACGCAAAGCATTACTATATTACTATAAATTACCTATTATGGTATAATGAATGGTTACTTCTTGTTTATATTATAAATTCAGCCACATTTCAGAAAACCATAATCTTTGGTCCAGAATCATTTTGGTACGAAGAAAGCAGTGGATGCCAAAACCGTCAGCTGTTTCAAAACATCATATGACCAAATAGTGCTGGGAAGACGGGACACGACTGTAGCTCTAATCCTATAACTACACTTTAGGTAATTACACACATGATGTGCCTCTCTTGTTAAGATTACATGGTAAGAACCATGGTAGGTAACAACTTAAACAACTGTAATATAAATACAGCTTGCATCAGTTTTTACATTTACAGTCACTGGTATTATGCCACATACCTTAACTTCTTGTTCAAGTTTACCAACATTAGTATCTAAACCGGCTGCCACAGAGTCATATGCATGCTTCTTATCATTGTAATCCACTGTCAAATCTTGGGCTTTCTGCCTCAGGGGGCGTAGTTCTGGAAATGATAATTTTCTTAAACGCACAAATAAATGCATAGCAGAGTGTGTGTCTCACAAGAATGAACCTATCTCATTAAAATCCTCCTCTGTGCTAGCACCCAGCCAATACGACCCCTCACATTAGCACGGTTTTGTACCTGTTTCTATTCATCCCACTTGGATTATCATATAATAAATTATAATGAAAGTATTGTATGATATAAAGAATAGGAAGGTTGGAATCAGGTACGGAAAATTGGAAGGCTGGCCATAATCTAAATAATTATGACCATAATCTAAACTTTCTAGTCAAATTCTTGGCTAGAAAGTTTAGATTATAGCCAGACATACCCACAGACTTAGAGATAGTAATCAAACCGGCATTATTGTAATATGAGAGGAAGGAGAGAACAGAAGATGATAGTGTAGAAAAGAAAGGGGTAAGGAATATGCAGTGAAGATAAGTTGTATAGTGGAATATTTAAAAACAAAAATGATTGGGGACAAGCAATGTGTACACTAAAAAATCAAGCACTGAATTTGAGTATAATGAAACTCCCTATCTAGATGGACTCTCAGTAACTTCCCAAAGTTTAGGAATTGAAGTAGTGTTAAAAATAACACAAAGCCTCTTAGGCCCACATTCTTCTACTGGGAGCCAGAAACAGAATCTGGCTCACAGTATAAGGCGAGAAGAGCTTTGAGATTTACTTTGATAGTGAACCGAGAGATTTACTCAAAACCATAAAAAACCAGTGTTGAATGTAATGAAACACCATTTCCTGGGTGAGCCCCGGAGGCTCCCTGGAGCTTATTGGGCTAATGCATGTTATATTAGACCAGGACATTAGCTACGGAGTTCAGACCTACCAGGCACCATTGCCAGAACCTGGCCCCTTCAGAGAGGTTTCAGGGAGCAATGGCCCGGGAAAACCTCCTTATGGTTGGGGTTTTCCTTATCTGCCATCGACCGGGGTTAGACACCCAGAAAGGTAGGCATAACAAAACAAACCCCACATGGTAAAAAACTAAAACAAAAACCGAACAGAGAGGTAGAAACTCCCTACAATCCCAAGGAAACAAGCAAACATCACACTTTACTGCCGCGCCGATCGTCCGCGCAGCCCTCCCCACCCCGAGAGGAGGAGGGGGGAGCCCCGGACCTCACCGCGCCGGCTGCCTAGCATCAGTTCGGAAGCTAAGCTTCAACCAACGCGAAAAAAACGCCGACCTGTGGGAGGGAGGGTTGCCAGGGAGCCTCGGGGGCTCACCCAGAAAATGGCGTTTCATTACATTCAACGCTGGTTTTCTGTGGGGAGCCTCTAAGGCTCTCTGGAGCTTCATACCCAAAGAGAAGGAAAAGAAAGGGCTGACCCAGGAGGCGGCCTCCAAAAACTCCGCAATGCGAAGCCGAGACAACAGGCTGCAACCTGCGACCCAAAGCAACAAGAAAGCACAGGAGCAGACACACGCATAAAGAATGGGCGGCCAGGAACCTGTGTGACCCTCAAATCCTTGCGCCCGAAATGAGCCCTAGACGTCACCAACACAGCATCAACCCAAAGCGCATCCCCAGACACGGTATGCAGTTAACGGCAAAAAAGGGCAACCGGACAACACAGGATGCACCCCGGCTGAATCAATCAAGCATCAATAACCCAAGGACCCCACCGGAAAGCAGTTGTCTCGACCGTCGCCAGAAGGACGGAGAAAGGCTGCAAACGTACAAACCTACCACCAGTACCAAAGAGCAGAAACCTGAACCGAAGGGGCTACCACAAACTGAGGAGAAGATAAGAGGGCACCCTGATCAAGGACCAGGACTGCTCAGGTGACGCATGACCAGGCCAGAGGTGAAACAAAACACGAGAAAGCGTACGAAACGGGGCAGATGTGACGTCCACCCTGAACGCAAGCCGGAGAGGCTCCGCCAGTGCTGCACAAAATGAGGAGACAGTAAGAAACATCAAATAACTGTAGTCCTAAAAACTCAAGAAAGTACAAGACAACCCGATGCGAAAAAGAAGACGACCTATGCGAGCGAGAAAAGGTGCATAGAAACACCAGGAACATCATACTGTCACCGAGATGAAGCTCGCAGGTGGGACACCATCAACAAAGCCACCTTATCACCACAGAGATGGTGATACCCGCGTCAAAATACCAGACGCCAAAAGCTGAGGAGAAAGCTGAAAAAGTCATGTTCAGGACCGGTCCGACCTGCCGAAAGAGGCAGAACCGCGGGAAAACGCCCCGGGTTCGGCCACCTATCAAGCAGCATCTGACAATAAGCTGGGCCGGCCACCAAGGAACCATAAGGACTGCTCTTGTGGGATGGGCTGCAACCGAGCCAGAACCCAAAGCAACAGCTGGACCGGGAGAAGAGGAACAGGTACCCCCACCTCGACCAGTCCTGCCGAAAAGCATCCACCGTGAACGCCTCGCAGGTGGGTAAGGGCGCCACATAAAATGGGCGACGCCTAGACCACGCCAACTCGAAGATATCCATGGCCAGGAGTCCATACGTCCGACAGAGCCAACAAAATGAGCCGGCGACGACTGGCCAATCCGCGAACAGAGGAATGAATCGAGACAGCTGTCCGCCAGGACGCAGGACACACCCCGGACATGAACCTCACGGTTAGCCAAACCCCGAGAATCCAGCAAACGAGACACTCTAAGGAACCAACCCCAATGGTCAACACTGAAGAGAAACCCTGTGGTTCCGACAAGAACCGCCAGAGAACAGTTCGAACGGAGCCGAATGGTAGAGCACCGAGTGACCCAAACCCTCCAAAGCGCAAACCAGCCAGCCACGAACTCCCGAACCGTGCTGTGAGCCCAAAGGACAGACAGACTCCACCATCCCCGGCCGACCTGGTGAGCACTGGTCACAAAGCCCCAGCCGAGAGATGACCTGTCCGTGAACACATCGAGCAAAGGTTCGGGGAGGTGCCAAGGCACGGAACCCCGAAAACCCCAAAGAGGAAGCTGGTGACGCAGCACCAACACAAGATCCCCAGAGGAACAAACCCAACGATTGCAAGAGGCGGAAGGGGAGTCTCCGAAGGAACCAAACAGACGCCGAAGCCAAACCCGATCCCGCGGGCAAATCAGCACGTTGAAGTTCAGACTCCCGCACAACCACTCAAGCAACTGCTGAGCAACCCGGGACCCCCTCATGAACAACCGAAGGCGGGACCACAGTCGCAGTAACACTTCTGGAGGGAAAGACAAGGGGTGGCCCAATAGCCCTAAACAAGGCCCAGGTTCGAACCCGGGACGGAAACAGATGGAATGGCCTCCAGATCACCAGGAAACCAAACCCGGCAATCTGGAAAGAACCACACCCCTGGCTAGTAGACAAGCGGACCGACTGGGAGCCCACACCAGCCAGTCGTCGAGGTAGGCCAGACACCGAATCTCAAGCAGACTCAGACAGGGCACTAAGATCCGGTATAGATGCAAAAATACACCAACTGCCAATTACAAAATAGGGAAGGCAACAAAAGCAGCAAGCCTGTAGCCCCACCACCAACTGTGCCAGTTCCGGAAAACTGGAGAGGAACATGCCAAGAATTGACCTGGAGGTCCAGGGCCACCATCCAGGCACCCGGCCCCAATAGAAGCCGGACAGAGACAACAGTCCTCCGAGGAGGGTATAGAATTCAGGGCAAACCGAGTCTCGGTTTGCCCTGTTTCTCCCGAAAACCGCCCGAGTCTCGGCCCCAGCTAAACCCCGCCCCGACCCCGAAACCCGCAGACAGTCCGGAGCCGGGAACAGGGAGGGAAAGGGGTGAACAGCACCTAACCAAAATGGGATGGCCTCGGGACATCCGAGTGGGAAACCAACCTAGCATGTTGCAGCAACCTAACCTAGCTTGCAACACGGATGCCGCCTGTACTCTGAACAGTAATAACATCAGGAGAGTACTAGAGAACAAGCACAGAATCTCTCTCGAAAGACTCCGGATCAAGGTGTCAGGGACCCAACAGGCAGCATGACAGAGGTAAAAGTGGCGACTGTCACCCAGAGACAAGGGCACAGCAACCAACGATCCCGTACAAGACGGGTTGGAACCCGGAAGACACATTCAATGGTCCCCCGAGCCCAGACAGGGGTTTCCAGGGCCTGTAGGCTGACTGCTAAATGAAGCCCGGGCAAGGTGTTGCTAACCGGTTAAGAAACCCAAAAAGAACAAGAGGGTAGAGGATAGCACTGAAAACCCCTGCGACATGTACAATCACGGGGGCCTAGCAGAGGGCCGCCAAACACTACCAGTGAAACTAGAGCCACACTAGGCAGACCCCCACCAGGCAAATGAAAATAAAAACAAAAGAAAACCCCCGCAAAAGTACACCCTCTCCAGAGGCAACAGAAACCGGTCGGCGCTTAGGTGGCAGGCTGCGCAACATCTTGACGCCCTAACCAGCACAATACCAATCCCTACCCAGGGCCAAACAAGGGCCCCCAGCCCCAGCTGGCCCCAAGGGCGAGGCAAAAGCCGAGCAGCAAGAACCTCCACGGTAATGGTTCCCGAACGCCCCAGGGAAGATAACCCTGTTATGCAAGGGCAGTACTCACAGGGTGCTTAGGGAAGTCAGCCACTAAGCGCATGCAGCCCCGGCACTGATGAAGTACTCCTGGCCACCGCACAACACAACACACGGGAGTGAACGCCACACAAGGCAAACACCGCCTAGGAAACTGAGGCCAGAGAAGCGTCTATCCTGGTTGACATTAGCTTATGAACTGAAGCTTGGCAGCCGGCGCGGTAGGTCCGGGGCTCCCCCTCTCAGGGCGGGGAGGGCTGCGCGGACGATTGGCGCGACAGTAAAGTGTGATGTTTGCTTGTTTCCTTGGGATTGTAGGGAGTTTCTACCTCTCTGTTCGGTTTTTTGTTTTAGTTTTTTACCATGTGGGGTTTGTTTTGTTATGCCTACCTTTCTGGGTACCTGACCCCGGTCGATGGCAGATAAGGAAAACCCCAACCACAAAGGGGTTTTCCAGGGCCAT